AGATAAATAAATAGCTATATATGAAAAAGATAGATAGACGAATAGATAGAGAGAAAAGGAGGGATGTAAAAAGATTGAGATAGATAGATGCGAAAATACAGATATATATGAAATGCAAGAAATTTTAAAATAGATAGGTAGATAGATAGATAGATAGATAGATAGATAGATAGATAGATAGATAGATGAGAAAAGACAGATATATATGAAATGCAATAAATATTAAAATAGATAGATAGATATAAACATAGATATTTAAAGCTTAATCTGTCTTTTGTATGTTTTCGTACAGAAAATGCCAGTGTTTAACTGACAGACAAGGTAAAGCAGGAAGATTACTTACATGTAGTTTTCTTTTTGGGGTGGGGGAGTACAATACAAAATGAGCAGAAATTAGAATTAGAAGATAGTGTTCCGCCAGTCTTCCAAATGACCCTATCTTTCTCTACTCCCCCCAAATCACTATTCACCTTGGGTCGAATACTGATCAACTGGCGCCCGCCGGATAAAACCAACCCACCTAGCAGGTCTTTCAATAAAGAACACTCCAATATTTACAGCTCATTCGGGAACGCTGCGTAAAGTGTGAGCGCTTATTTTCTTGTACTTCCGACGTACGTTTAATTATTTTCCGTCCGCCCCAATAAATAATTGCCCCGACGTGTGGCGTCTGTTTTTAAGGCTTTTAATGTGAAATATGGCCATCGTTAATAGTCGAAGACGATAATTTGTAGATTTTAAAGTAGCAACCAAATACCTTTCCCGTTTCGGTTGTGTTTGTAAGCAATCTTATCGCATGAAATTACGTCTTTAGCTGGATTCAGACTCACATGTCTGTTGTTTAAATCTCCAAATTCTCCTACCTACTGCATATATCTCTAATTCCAAAGATTCGCTAACAAATGAGAATACCATGATGAAAAAATATCCCAAACGTAATAAAAGTAAAGTTTTATCGTCAGAAACTTTAGGTTATTATTAAGAAAAAAAAAGAAAAGATTTTTTGATTATTAACTTTTTAGAACCTTCGAAATTTTGTTTAAAAACTTTGTTTTTCGTGCGTCAGCGGGTGACCATAAATTAGTGTGGAAATTTTATCGTTTTTTTTTTTTCGGTGAGAAACACATTGATTTGGAAATTCTTGCCAAAATCAGATAATTGTCGAATTTTAATTAAACTTTCAGGATTTACTTACAAATGAATTATTTTTTTAAATGTTTCTTTTTTTTTTTTTTAGAAAATCTTGGTAAACATATATATTTTTGCCCGCCTCCTTATTTAATTTATGAAATTTCAAGAAATTCATTTTTGCAGAGCTTAATGTTTAATTAGTTATAAGTCATTGTAGAATTTAAATAATCAATTTCTTTTTGTCAAATAGGACCCCCAGTTAATGAAAATCTGCTCTAAATTGTAAAAAAAATGCAATAAATCTAAGACATTGTGTAATTAGAATAGCTTTTAATTGCTTTTATGAATAAGATATATTATCGACACTATTGTCATAAGGAAAATATTTTTTGAATAATGAATTTTTACAGGAATTGTTTCCAATTTTTTTCAATTTTAATTATAATAATTTATAAATTTATAAATTTTCTAAGATTCTGTATTAATTTGTAGCGGTTAAATGATATTGTTATTAAGTAAAATAATATACTTGCTAATCATAAACTGAAAGGCTTGCTACAATTCAACGACCCCCAGTATTTTAAAAAGAATTTTGATTTTTTGGTGATTTTTGTAAGGACGGGGGTCAATACCCGACATTTTCCGAAAATAAGCGCGATAACTATAGAAAATTCTAGATTTATTGGCAATTTTCTAACATTTCCTAAGATTATAAAGCCAAAGTATATAAAATTCTATAAAAGATTAAACTACTTAGAATATTTTCCTAAACTTTTAAGATTACTCGGTAAAATATCTATACAACAAAGGCGTTCAAGTTATATTCAAGTAATATATACAATTATGGGCCATTTACTTAAAAATGTCAAACATTAAATTATCAATAAACCTCTGAACACCTCATAAACACACTGACCTGCGCGTTAAAATGTTTTACTGCGATATTTTAAACTATAAATAACGTTTGTTTTAATTCAGATTAATTAAACATTAAATCAATTAATCTTCCTCAAATATAGTTTCAGAAAAGTATATTTTATTTTGAAAGATTTTTTAGTAAAGAAAATTATGTTGTGTTAACAGATTTGTAAATGTGGCCGACATTCTCGATTTAAAAAAATAATTCCTATCAATTTAAATTCAGTTTGAAATACAGCAAAGTAATTTGCTTATTGGAAATATCAAATTTAATCTATTAACTTGAAATTAAAACTAAAATTAAACTTTCAAAAATGCATTTTAAAACCTTGGTCTCGCTTTTTTGGAGGTCTCTCTCTCTCTCTATATATATATATGTGTGTGTGTGTGTGTGTGTGTGTTTGCGCGAGTGTGGGCTCGAGTGTATAAGTCTGTTCATATATGTCTATTTACTATAGAAAATATAAAATTTGTCACTTAACTTATTGATCATTTCATTCATACCTGTTACCATCTATCTATCTATCTATCTATCTATCTATCTATCTATCTATCTATCTATCTATCTATCTATCTAAAGATGAAACGATCACCCGATCGCTCACAGCATCAACAGTTGTGATGTGTATAAATCGAAATGTATGTATGCGCACTTTGATTCAATGATCGTAACTTTAGAAAATCTTAGTTTGAGCATTTGTGCGCATGTGTAAATTTCGACAATTCCTCGCCTGTTCCACAGAGGGGTGGATGTGCAAAGTGTGTAAATACGCCTTTCAAAAAGGCTTTCTTTTTTTCTTCTGTGTATCGTGGTATGAATGAACGCGGATAGAAGCACGAGTGATTCCACTTAATATTGCCCAGCCCAGCCGAAGGTAAGAATGGAGCATTTATTCACCGACAGGAGTATTTGTTGATAAATTAACTTTGATAGTCGAAGTGGGAGCATTTTTTATTTTATTTCTTTATTTTTTATTTTGTGTTTTTGTAACGTTGTTCAAATGTCTTCATTTTTATTTAATTCTGTTCAGTTGTTTCGGCATTTGTTTTGTTTTTATGTTGTAGTTATCCCGACATTAATGTGGGAAGTGGGTATGATGACGACGATGACGATGGCGTCGGGGCGGCGGTGATGACGAACAGTGAAATAGATGGATAATGAAAGGAAAGAGGGAGGAGCCCAAACGAAAACGGAAAAAAAAAAAAAAAAAGCAGAAAAGAAAAAGAAGAGAGAATTATTGAGACAGAAGGTATAAGTAGGAGTGGGTGTAGGAGGTGGTCATATTGGGAGCTGCCTTCTCGTCTCGAGTGTTTGTCCGTCCGTGTGTCGGACGAAGGTTGTTTTTCCCCTCCTAGAGCAGCAGAAGGCGAACGACGTGCAAGTTCGAAAGACGTCCCCACAGTACGGCAATTTTGTGAGTTAATTTAATCGTAAGCAAAAGAAAGAAAAAAGATCAGGTCTACGTTATTTAAAAAAAAAATGGCCATCCAAAAATCCGTGAAAAGATTCTTGCCTAGAGAGCCTTATGAATGGCGCAACCTTTTCTCCGTTGGTGTCCGAGCCGAAATGTAACACGTTATAAAAACGGCATTCATTTACCCCCACGACAACAAAGTAAGAAAGACGGAAGGAAAGACAGAAAGAAAAAAACATCCGACGAACATTAACAACCACAAGAAGTCACGTTGTTGTGAAGTAGCAGATAAAATGAACACTTTCGCTGGCTATCACTGCGTTAACGTGGTCGATTCATGTTCTCTGGGCCGTGCATATTACTTTGCGCCTAACTAAAACTACAATACACTAGTAAATATAAGCAAACACTTTTCCAGCTTGCTACTATTGACGTCTGAAAAAGTTGGTGAATTCATTTCTGTTTTTTTCAAGCTTTGTTAAGTTTGTTTCTTGTCTAGAACTTCAAGAGTACTTTTTAAACCACAGTCGGAAAACTATTTGGGAGAAAGAGAAAAAATGATTTTCTAAAAAAAAAAATAATTTTCTAAAAAAAAAAAAGTTGTCCTTATCTTTTAAAAAATATTCAAATATTTAATTCAAGTTACATTCCTAAACAACAGAAATAAATATTGCCTAAAAAGTAAAAAACACACGTTCAAAACAGTTTCCCTAAGAAAGTCTTAAAAGTTTTTTTGTGTTTAAGCTGAAGTTACCAAATCCCTTTTTTTTCGCACACAAAAACAAAGTAATACATCAGGATTTAAATATGAAGAAACTTTGATAAAAAAAAGAAGACGAAAGTGAAGGAAAAAGTGGACACTTAAGTACCGGGTTGGTTACGCTCCTTAAACTGCACACGGGTTCGGTGAAGGGCAGACAGCGACAAATGTTTCTTAAAAATCGGACGTTTTTCATGTCGTACTATCAATTTATTACGTGAAAATATTGAAAGACCAGTACGAAAGGAAAAACAGAGATGGGGAAGGTGAGTGCTTATCGGCTAACCGAACTCTTTCCTTTGTAGATGGAGGGCCGTAAACGGCACGAGATTAGCCGCGATAGAGTAAACAATACATCTATCCAATAAGTAGGAATAATAATAATAAACAAGACATCTTTCACGGACACATACGCTCACGATTTTGAGTGTTAAGTTTCTCCGAGGGTTGTAGAAACGAGAAAAAAAAAATAAGCGGAAGAAAAAAAATGTTGCTTAAAATTTCGACATGATTTCTTAAAATTTCTATATTCTATTTATTATACAAATATATTTATTTATAAGCATCTATCATATATCGATCAGCCTGCGTACCTATTGGTCTATTGTAGTGGCATTATAAACCCGCTTCTCTCACAGACTAATTTGTTTGTGTAGAGGGTTCCATTCTCAGAGGCGCTCTGTTATTGGTGGTCTTGTGCCCAAAATAAGTCTAATAAATTATCTATCAGTAGAGACAGAGGTAGGTGAGTGCCCTGCAAGCAACAACACCTAAAAATGCGGTTGTTTACTTCTGGTGGAAGGGGTTGGCGTTGGCACAGCGGGATTTCGAACAACAACGGCATATACGGTAGCGGCTTCACTAACGGCCACAATATAGGTGGGACCTACGTGGTGCTCGCACTTGTCGTGGGGCTGCTAGTTACCATGGTGACGGGTGCACGCGACGGCAGTGGCGGGGAAGGCGGTGGAGATAATAGAGGCGGCGGTAACCGGAGACCGAGAGATGCCAGGACGGAAAACGGTGCTGGCGTCGGCCTCAAAGAGCAGCAAAGTGTAACATCTCCGGAACGAGGAGAAAGAGAGATCGAACAGGTAGTGGAAGATGAAGAACCTAACCGGACGAGCAAAGGAGGTGACGACGGTGAAGGGATTGCAGGTGGTAGTAACGACATCATGTTGGACCTGAACAAGTTAGCCAGAATAGGTAACAAGGATAAATTATTGTCCATGTTGAAGCAAATCGCCGATTCTATCCACAAATGTGGAGTCAAAGAGGTGCCATTATTGAAGAGACACTTTATCACCAATCACACAGTCACTTGCAATGATGGCTCACCAGCAGGGTAAGTTAAACAAGTTTTTCAACTTTTATTGTTTTCAATATTGCTTTTATTAACATTGTATGTGTGGGTCGCGTAATGATTAGCGTCTCGAATTCATTATGCGCAAATACTTGCGGGAAAGTTATGAATTTGTCTCTTCTCCCTCAGCTATGGATTAAATAGAAGGATGGGTATCTACAAAAATTTTTATCTAAAAAGTTGTTAATGCAATATTCACTGGCATAAAACCAGAATTATTCTTACAATCCAAAATGTTTCGGCTTTAAATAACCCACAAAGGGTTGATAAGCCTAAAAAAAAATATCCATCAATTATTTGCATTTATTTATTCATTTGGAGTTGTACTATTACTTCTGAGTAGTGAGTTCGATCCTAGCTGGCTTCCTTATACAACTTCTAACTTACGCTTGGTAAACAACTGTGTTACTGTCGATAAAATATTACAATATGAATTGCAAGAAAACCATTAAAAAATATTACTTCGTACGAACATATTTGTTTTGGCATCCATAGCGGCGCACTCAATTTGTAATGAATTTAGCTAGCAAGGTGGACCCCTTATTAAATATCAGATTTAATAATTTTTTTCTTTTTTTATATTCGTGAACTGGGAAAGCTTAAGTAAATATAAAAAGAAATTCTGGGAACACTATAAATGCAATATGAGGAAACGGTTAATATATATATATATATATATATATACAGGGTGTGTATGTGTGGACATAAAGGCAAAAAGGCATAGTTTTAATGAATTAAATTTTCAACAACATTTTATCGAATTGGAATATTAACAAATAACATCTTCAATATGATTTCCATCATTTGTGATGCAAAGATTGATGTGCTTTGCAAGATTCGCGTAAATTCAATGCAATAAATCCACATTGTCATCAATTTTAGCACATTCACTTTTTATGCATTCAATCAGGTGTGTCACATCTGCACATCTGTTTTTTTCATTGAGTACACCTTCTCCTTTAGCATAACCAAGAAGAAGAAGTAAATTCTTTCTTCTTTAGATAAAACAATATTTAATCTGTGGAGGTAAAAAAAAATATTGTTAATGAGATTTAGTGACACCCTGCACCATTACCTTTCGCTTCTATCATGAACCCACGAGTTTATTTTATAAAATTGAGAACACAATCGGATTTCAAATTTAGTTTAACGTGCAAACCCCAGGGTCCGTCCCCCACAAGCAATACCTCATTTTTTAGGATAGAGTTAATCCCTGGCAACTGAGGTGTTTGTCCCATGCATGCACAGGACTACCACTTTAAACTCAACCTTTTGCCACACTCTGTTAGAGTAGCTCCGTTTATCGATACGGAGTCAAATCTATCCCTGATTTTATATTTATTAGACCTAGCTGGGTATTTTTTATATTTGCGATAGCTCAGTTGGTAGAGCGGAGAACTGTAATAATTGTCAGTCAGTGTTGGTACTTAAGTTTAAGTCTATTTAACTATTGCCAGTATCTGCCTTATCACTGAGTTTTAAAACCTCTGTTATCAAGTGGTTTCCACTTGAGACCATGTGACAGCAAGTTTCGCCAATATTCCTTTATGATTTTAAATGATGCTGTTGTTTCTTTCGCCTCTTCTAAACAGCTATACTTCTAACTAGGTAATTTGTAAACGATATCGGCCCGGAGAGTGGAACCGGTTAACAGAGTTCAAATTCCTTGCTAGTCTGTTGCGTTCATTTTCGCATAAATGCACTTGATAAAGTCATGAATCCGTCTCTTGGGGTGAAATAGCAATATATATATATATATATATATATATATATATATATATATATATATATAAGTGGACATTAAAGTCAACACCTAGCGGTGACAGTCTGTTTCATGTTTAAACGAAATTGTCAGGCTGACGATTGCGCTTTAAGCTTGAAACAGACTGTCGCCTCTGGGTGTTGACTTCAATGTCTACTTTTATAGTTACATGCCCTCTATCCATGATATGGAGCACTTTAACCCATAAAAATAGCATACCTTAAAACTATCTTTTTATCATTAGATGGAAATAAATAAATTCACTGTTTAATAAATGAATAAAAAAACACAGCATCTAGTCAAATACGAGTATCTATTAAAATAACGTTTAGAAATATAAATTAAAATATGTCGGATTGATAAAACGAAAATCCATTCCTATAAATTGTTTTTGTTTGAGTTAGGATACGAAATAGAGCAGATATGTATATTTGGAAAATCGGGAAAGATATGTGTTCAAAAGCAATATTCGGGCATTGTCTGATCAGGTGGTCTTACGTGGCCGTTAGGTCAAGGCACGTTAGATCTAATGACAGTTTCCCCGAGGCGACGCTGGCTCGATATAAATAAAAACAGAGCATCCACTCAAATATGAGTATCCATTAAAAATATAATTTTTATCTATCTATCTATCTATCTATCTATCTATCTATCTATCTATCTATCTATCTTGTTTCATTTCTGTAGTTCACTGCTACTAACAAGTATAATTTTGTTTTATTCTGATGATAGCCATCCTGGACGAATCTAGTCGAGGAATCTAAATGAAATAATAAAAATGAAAGAATATTAATATACAACCCAGCGTGTCTGAAGATTTTAATTTTTTAATATTTTTATTGTCCAAAACACACACACACACACACACACACACACACACACACACACACACACACACACATATATATATATATATATATATATATATATATATATATATATTGTGAGAATTAGGATAAAATATATGTAAAAATAGTATTTTGTATTTAAAGTGTCATTTACCAGGTTAGGATTGATCCGGGTCTGTTAAAAGAATTTGCCAACGTGCAAATTCATAGTAGGAGTTTTAGTGGAAATTTGGAGTCATATTCAGTCCCCAGTCGCATCTATACATACTTTAGGATAGTGCGATCCGAGCGTTTCCTGGGCAAGTTTGCCTGACGGAGCCCAACCCTTTCAGGCTGGTTTGAATTCATAGTTTCCTTCTTCATGACGGGTTGCCACACAAGGCTATAGAACCCAGTCTGTCCTGCTATTTACCTATAGCCGGGGGTAAAGAAAAGTTTATATAGTGGCAGAATGGCTAGAACGTTCGCTTTCTGACCATGACACCCGGGGCTCGGATTTTACTGTTGCTGATTTATCATGACTTCTTGATGTTAGGGTGTCAATCCCAGCATTGTCGAACCATTGTGAGTGAAATTGGATAAAGGGAACTCTTTGGGAGCTGTCGATGGTGGCGTTAGCATGAAGTCACAAGTCATTTAAGCGTGTACTGATATTGTTCAAAAGGCTGTTCATGTCAGATTATTCGCTCTCTCCTATAAACTGAAACTAACATCCGCACAGTATAGCGTCAGTCGAAACCACAGGTGGGCTCTGAACAAACATAAATGCTTATATTTGGTCTGCTACTTTCGATTACCTGTTCCTAGCAGGTATTTGTAATGGGGATTGGGTAAATGCTTAGACTCAATTAAGAGATCAATGTCTACCTATTTCCGTATCAAGGAAATGCCTACAGACGTAAATATAAATGCCCAATATTTACTTATCTCCGAAACAAGTAAATGCTTACACACTCAAATATAAAAGACCAATATTTTTTTGTAGACTCAAATATAAACTATCAATATTTACCTATATCCGAATTAAATGCTTATATACTATAATTTAAAAGACAAGAATGATTTCAACATTAAATAACCTAACAAGCGTTAACGCATCATAAAAGCAAGCGACTCATTACAAATGTAGTGCATTTGATTCTCATAGAGTGAATTCTTTGTTGTAGTCGTGAGCGTGACTTCGCTGTAAAGCAACAGTGTGCAATATTAGTCTAAGGAAAAATTCTACTGTTGAATCTTTGGTCCTTTATAACAAACCAAAAAATTATTTAGTCAGACATCTCTGTTTATTTGAAGACATTTGCGCGGAGATCCCTTTTTATTTACAAACAGTGAAAATAATATAGTTGGTAGCGGTCTCCTTGTAAGACGAACCCAAGCATGCTAGCCTCGAGCCAGCTTTCCACTTTTTACAACACCGTCATGTAAAATTTTATTCACGTTGAAACACCGGTTCCCATACGACCAACGAAGTTAAGCAACGTCAAGTCTGGTCACCACCTAGATGGTTGACTACATGAGATTACCAGTTGCTGCAAGCATGGATGTGCGTGTGGTGTAGTGGATACTGGCTTTGAATTGCTATTCAGAGAGCTGAGCTCCAATTCTAGTTGGGTTCGTTACTTACGCGCGAATATCATTGAGAAAGGCATGAATCAATCTCTCCCTCCAACTATAGGTTAATTAGTAAAACATGTATCACTAAACCATTATTATGTCTAAAATAAATTCTTAGAATTTAACAATATTTTCTGGCTTTAAATAACTTAAAAAAGATTGATAAACCATAGAAAACCAATCAATTAAAAACAAGCATCCTGAACGCAGAGATGACACTTACCCTGAATCCATGATAAATCCATAATTTAGGACATGGAATTAGTAAATACTAAATACTTGAAATACCTCAGCGTATGTATCAGTTGTAACAAATTTAGTATAGGGGAAAATTAAATTAAACATAGACTAGGTTCCACCAGAGGTAGTTTTACCCAACATTACAAATTACTACAAAACCAAAACATCAGTCTGAAAACTCGATTCATATTCTTAAATGATGTAATGAATATGCATACACCTGGGTTCCCCCTCACAGTAATATGATTGGCTGGTGTCAGCCATAAATACAGACTGATGTGGAGGTACAAGACGACGCCTATAGTCTTCGCCTATTGCCTACACCTATTGCCTACCACTTCGACGAGGACCAGTCCATTACAGTTACCTGCTAGATTGTCCTACTCGGTTATAATAATAATCCCAAACCACTTTGCTACTTCAAACAAATAATCCTGTCAGAACGATACTTTCATATATATATTATAATTGGCACAAAACTCGTTCAGAAATATCTAAACTGTTAGCCGCTTTCTAAGATCAATAATTAAAAAAAGGCTTTCAGTGAATGAAACCTGAGGGTCTTGGCAATCATCATCCTTTTTTAAACACTGTAGACTGACACTACAGATTCACAAACAAAGAACTGTATCAAATCACATCACTTGAGGACTAACAACAGCAGCAACAATGAAAATGAATAGAACATGTAACTCAAAGAGAAAAATATGATATAATCAAGATGTTGACATTCCACACTACTTCAAATAAAAGGTTAGGAAGGAAACCTCCATCAATACTGGAAAGAGTGATAACAGCTACTGGGCTTGAGAAGAGAAAATAATGACATAATCAAGATGTTGACATTCCACACTACTTCAAATAAAAGGTTAGGAAGGAAACCTCCATCAATACTGGAAAGAGTGATAACAGCTACTGGGCTTGAGAAGAGAAAATAATGACATAATCAAGATGTTGACATTCCACACTACTTCAAATAAAAGGTTAGGAAGGAAACCTCCATCAATAGTGGAAAAGTGATAACAGCAACTGGGGCTTGAGAAGAGAAAATAATGATATAATCAAGATGTTGACATTCCACACTACTTCAAATAAAAGGTTAGGAAGGAAACCTCCATCAATACTGGAAAGAGTGATAACAGCAACTGGGCTTGAGAAGAAAATAATGACATAATCAAGATGTTGACATTCCACACTACTTCAAATAAAAGGTTAGGAAGGAAACCTCCATCAATACTGGAAAGAGTGATAACAGCAACTGGGCTTGAGAAGAGAAAATAATGACATAATCAAGATGTTGACATTCCACACTACTTCAAATAAAAGGTTAGGAAGGAAACCTCCATCAATACTGGAAAGAGTGATAACAGCAACTGGGCTTGAGAAGAGAAAATAATGATATAATCAAGATGTTGACATTCCACACCACTTCAACTATTTTTGGATTGTCAAATAATGAAAGCATTATCGGATGAGTTAATGCTATGAAATGATCCCTGGAATTGTCGTGTATTACAAAATGTTTCAAATATTTTATGTTGGTTATATTTATATGTTGAATTCTTCCGACGTCTTCGACGTACAAAGGTTTTAGAACCGTTACACTCCCCACACATATAATTTGGTTATAGTTGTGAAGGCTTGTGTAGACCCAGCCACACTTTTCCACATAAGGCCAAAGATAGAAGTGAAAGATTGTGTTGTGCCAAAGATTTCTTTAACATTGTGTAAAAAAATCAGTAAAGTCAAAACAATACGTTGCGTCATTGAGACAGGATTTGGTGATATTTATTAAACTTAGTCTCACACAAAGTCATGTGAGTGTAGCACGCAGTAAGGTATGAATTCACCTTAACAGTAAAGATCTCTGAAGCAAGCTTTTGCTAATAACTGCTCTCTAGTGGAATGCTTCAGTATTTAGTCTGGCACAAGGCTAGGAATGTGGGGTACCTAGTTCTGTATTTTGTAAATACATTACAAAATATTTATTAAGCTGAGTGTGGCACTAGATTATAACTGCCAGTGAAGATTGAATACACTTAACAGTAGTAATTGTCATCAACATTTCTATAGTACGGCATTAACAGACATTTACTGAGTTTGGCACAAGGTTATAACTGTGAGCGCCCCTGTGAAGAATGATCTCATTACAGTAGTAATAGTATGCTAGACGAGCTTGCTAACTATTGCTTTCAAGTGCTTAGTATTTACTTAGTCTGACACAAGGCCACAAGTGTGGAGCGCTCAGTAAGGATCAATCACTATTAATAGTCTGCATAATTAACTTGCGTCAGTGCTCTGCACTTTTTGGTACTTGATTTTGTATGGCACAAGGTCAAATATAGAGTTTGTCTATATTTCTGAGATGAGGTATTATGTACAGTATTTACATTAGTCGGACTATTGTCCTCATCTTTGTCGCCATATTTGTCACAACGTTTCGGCCGTTGTACGCTCCGGCCTTCTTCAGGTGGTTGGAATTTCGAACTGAACCCTTTATTTCGATCGCTGGGGTAGACTGTTCTAATTCCACGTGCCATGTTTGATGGATGTCAGTTATCAGTTATCTCCTGCTAATTTTCCCTCTGAAAGTTCTCCACTGCCTTAACCAGGAATTGAACTCACCTTCTTTGGGTCTGTCACTGGATCTAACCAACGCCTTTATCCACTGTGCCATGTGTCCTGGACACATGGCACAGTGGATAAAGGCGTTGGTTAAATACTAAGCACTTGAAAGCAATAGTTAGCAAGCAGTGGATAAAGGCGTTGGTTAGATCCAGTGACAGACCCAAAGAAGGTGAGTTCAATTCCTGGTTAAGGCAGTGGAGAACTTTCAGAGGGAAAATTAGCAGGAGATAACTGATAACTGACATCCATCAAACATGGCACGTGGAATTAGAACAGTCTACCCCAGCGATCGAAATAAAGGGTTCAGTTCGAAATTCCAACCACCTGAAGAAGGCCGGA